GCGCTGGGTGCCTGAGCCCGCCCCACCTGCCAGCTGAGCCGTGAGGTGCGAGAGCACCCCCTGCACAGGTCAGGCCAGCTGCTGTCACTGCGCTACACCCCACAGTGGCGGAGACAGCTGGGACGCAACCACGCAAGTCCCCTCACGCCTCTGCAGAAAGCAGCAGCTTGCTCCGACGCCCGCCCTGCAGGACCTGCTGGCAGGACCAGAGAACTCGGTGCAGAAGACGGAGGCCCGGGAAGTGCTCAGGAGCGCCAGGGTGAGGAGCGGCTGATGGCACACGGGACGACGGGGGACCGACGCGACGCCCGCCTCCCTCGAGGTCTTCACCAGGAGGGTTCCCTAAAATGGTCTTCCCGGACGCCTGCCCACTGAGCCACATGACTGCTGATGACACACAGCCATGGCAGCTCAGGTCACCTCAAGGCCCCACTCTTCCCATCACCATGGCGACACGCAGCTGCTGCTGAGCCCCTCAGAGGGGCTGAGCCCCTCACAGGCAGTTAGGGCCCAGCTCTGGTGGGCGTGGGCCAGGGCCCCAGAAGCAGCCACCACCAGAGCTGGGCCCTAACTGGCCGTGAGGGGCAAGAGGCGTGGCGACAGCCAGGGAGTGGCGAGCGCACCGCTGCCCTGAAAAAACCAGGACGCTCCGTGGGTCAGCCCCAGCTCAGCCCCAGCTCCGGGAGGTTCACCTTCAGGAGAAAGAAGCGGACAGAGTGCGGCCCAGTCCAGGAGGGCGACAGGCTGTTCTAAGCTCTCCCCTCCTTTCTTCTTTAATGAGCAAGAGAGACAGACAGACCGAGGCCCTCGTGGCCCTGCAGGGAGGCTCCAGAGCCAGCATGGCCCTCGGTGGTCTGTGCTGCACTGAGGCGGCCTTCCAGGCAGACAGGATAAAAATGAGAGTCGGAGGGGCGTGAAGGGAAGCCGGCACTGGTGGCAGGGAGGCCTGAGCCACACTCTACCGTGGGCACTGCACACCAGGAAAGAGCCCGTGGCCCCAGGCTCCTCTCCACCCCAGGCATGCCGAAACACAGCAACGCACGGCCACTGCAGGTCGCCAGCTCACGGCACAAGTACCTGGTGTGAACACTCACTCACTACGACCAGAAACCAGGGACGGGCCGCAGGTGATGTGGTGGTTATGGCCCTGGGCTCCCATATGATTGACAGCGGTTCGAGTCCCAGACCTGGCAGCTCGCTCTCTCTCTCTCTCTCTCTCTCTCTCTCTCTCTCCCCCTCTCTCTTTCACTGTCCCTCTCTGGTCAAAACTTAAAATAAATAAATAAAAATAATTCTTAAAAAATAAAAATAATTCTTAAAAAATAAATCAGACACCAGAGGATTTTGGAAAGCTCAGAGAAATGTGGAGTGGAAGTCCAGGGTGACTTCAGTGTACGAGTTGTGTTCACTGTGGAAACCGAAAACTCAGTAAGCAGAAAAAAATGCAAGTGACCCCCCACCATGCCCTAACCTAAGAGCAGACGGTGAAGGGGACGATACCCACCTGAAGTTGTTGCAGCCCAGGACCACCCCCACGATGTTCTTGCCAATGTCGTGCACGTCCCCCTTCACTGTGGCCAGCACCACGGTGCCCTGGTACGGGTCCTGCAGGGTAAGCAGCAGCTCAGCCTCACGGCCTCAAGGTCAGTCAGAGCGGGCCACCCCAGAGCCTCCAAGGAGCCACGGCCACCCCGCACACTCCACAGGGAGGCTACAGCCATGGGGCTCACAGGAGCCTGCTCCTGAACCTCCTGGGCCACACGGCAAGTTCAGACGCGAACGAGCTGCCGTGGAGGAGCACACCCTCAGCTGCAGAGGCTGGTCTGGCAGACACTCACGGCCGGCACCCAGAGACCGTGCAGGGCTACCGTGTATGCACCGCCAGAATCCGGGAGCTCACCGCGGCAGCCCAGAGGGGCGTGGCATGCCCAAGCTAGTGGTGTGCGCTCATCAGTACCCCGCTCGCATGCAAAGGAAAGGAGGGGGGAGCAGGGCCAGAGGGGCTTTCATGCACACTCCGCCTGCCTGGCCGCTCGCGAACGGATCAGACCCCTGGGTCAGCCCCTGCCGACTCCCTCTGATTCCCTCCGCGGTGAATCCAGGATGCGCCAAGGATGGCGGGAGAGCACATTCCGCTCACTCCTCCGGGCCGCACTGCTCAGGCGCCCCGGGGCAGAGGCCGCCTTGGAGCAGCGCAGAACCTGGTACTAGGTGGCTCCGTGAACGGCCGCGGCAGAGGGCGGAGGGAGTGACCCGTCTGCTCTAAAATCATGCGCTTCGATGGAAAATTATGCCCATGCTACATAATTCTCGGGGCCAGCAGGTGGTGGAGTGGTTAAAGGCACTGGATTCCCACACAGCTGACTGCAGTTTGAGTCCTGGACCTGGCAGTTTGCTTTCTCGCTTTCCCTTTCTCTGTCTTTCTCTCATCAAATTAAAAATATAATAATAACAGTAACAAATAAAATTAAATAAATAAACCTTTCATGATTTTCATAAAGCCACATTCAAAGAGAAACCCCAGGGCATTCCGATACTTGGTAAGGGAAAGGCCAGGGGATGGATCGTCTCTGTCCACTGTCCAAGGACAAGCACAGCCAGGCCTGGGGCTCAGGCCCTGCCCCAAGCTCCCACGGCCCCCAGGCCAGCTCTGTACGGCTCTCAGGCCAGGATGGACCACTTGCCTCCTCCTCTTCTACTGAGCCATTCAGTATTCCTGTGCCATTCAGTATTCGGGCTTCTTCTCTTTCCCTCTCCATGAAGGGGATGAGGTGACCAACAGCCTTCTTCATGACCCGAGCTGACTTTATTACCTGGGAAGATGCAGAGGCAGGCACCTTTACCAGAAGAGGGGCGGTGGGCACGCACCTTCACCGGAGCAAGGGCGGTGGGCACGTACCTTCACCGGACCAGGGGCGGTGGGCACGCACCTTCACCGGACCAGGGGCAGTAGCTGTTCTTGAAGCGTGAGCCACTCCCCTTGAAAACGTTGCCACTCCCCTTGCCCCGTAACTCGACCCATGTGTCTCCAGGAGATCCCTCACTGAAAGCTCGCCCCTGTGCAGACACCGCCGTCCACCCTGCCGTCCACCCTGTCCTAACCGGGAGCCTCTCACCAGCAGATGCACCAATTACCACTGTCCTCCCCGATAACTTGCTTTTTCGGCTTCTGTAAACCACTCTCGCATAGCTCAAGCCTGTACATTCTTAGATGTGTAGTTTTTTTTTCCTTTGTGGTTTTTCCCTTTGTAAACCTTCCTCCCCTCTGCATCGGGGCTGCAAGTTGTTTTGTTTTTGTTTTTTAAAGGTTTCTGCTATAGGGCACGTGTGCTTGCCAGAAAGACAGAAAGCAAGAAATCACCCCCCCAGGGGGGATGGCCACGTCACAATCCCTTCTCTTCCATTCTCCTCTCGGGATCTTGGCCACGCACGCACATGCGCCTGGCGTGAGTTTAAGCCATAGGAATCCAGCAACAAAGCCATTACGCCAACTGCTATTCCCAAGGGGCTGCAAGGTTTTGGAGTATCCCAAGTCCTCTCACGGCACTGGCCTAATAAAAGGCTCCTTAATTTGGCTCAAACTTGACGTTCTCTCATTTTCTCATGGATGTGAACCTAACACTCCGACCTCAGGCCAGCTTCACGGGCACCTGCTTTGGCCTCGGGCAGGGAACGAGCTCCTGGAGCGGGCAGCGAACAAGGTAGAGACACAGGGTAGGCCGCCAGCCCCGGGCCTGCCGCCTGAGTCCCATGTACCCCGCGGGCTCCACGCCTCTCTCCCCAGCTCGTCCCCAGGCTGCTGGCTAGATCCCCAGCACTACAGCTCCCCAAAACTGTCTTACACTCAGGGCACAAGGGGGTCTTTACGTCTGTACCTCGGGTTCCCTAGCTAGATGCCCCCGAGTGTGTGTGACCGCCACGGCTAGACGCTGCTCGAGATCCAAGTTCTGGTGCTAATCACACGTGCCCCATTCAGGACCGTCTTGTTTCTTTCAAAAGATGAACCCTGGCTGGCCACCCGATCTTCACATTACTAACTACATTTCTCCTGGGTTTTAGTTTCCTTCTTAGGCGTTGGGGGTAAAAGAAGACAGAAAACCTGAAACAGCGAGGAGGATGCTAAGAATTTCCAGAGGAACTCTAATCCCCACACAGCTCTGAAGTCAGGGTTCCCAGACATGAGTCCTAAACACACATAGGGAAGGCGTGACCAGGTGACGCGACCCCTCATCCAAGTGAAACCGAGAGGTGTGTCCGACTCACAACTTCGTCAAAGACAGAGCAGACTGAATTCAGAGTCCCCATCTTTTGCCAACCTGAGGTAGAAACATCTTCCCCGCTCCGAAGAGATCACCAACAATCCTCATGCCGTTCATCAGGGGTCCCTCGATTATACTCAGGGGCCGGGGGTACTTCCGCTGGTTGACCCTGGCTTCCTCGGTATCCTCAATAATATGTTTTTCAATGCCCTACAAAGATAAGAGGGAAAACACACATGAAAAACCAGCTCATGTGCAAACAGACAGGAACTGAGCAGAGACGGCTGCGAGCAGCTCCGCTCACCGGCCGAGGCGCCTCAGTCTCCACGCCGCCTCCCGCTCACTTGCGGGTGACACGACACAGCTCACGTGCAGGGCTCTGCCAGCACTTCAGACCATGCAGTTTCTGCACACGGTACATAGACGCCTTTATCTGCCAGTTTAGAAATCCTTTAACTGAAAAGGAGTCCTCGGCGGAGGGGAGCCCTGGCGAGTCGAGCGCGTGAGAACGCACGGCCTCCTGGTGCTGCAGAGGCCACACCGAGCACCTGGACGGCAGCCTTCTCCCCGCCCTGCCGCAGGAAGGCAGGCCACGCCAAGAGCCTGGCTGGCCACGCCCAGAGCCTGGCTGGCCGGGCAGGCCCACCTGCGGCATCCCCATGCCAGGGCCCCTGCACGTGCCTGAAATGGCTGATTCAAAACCATCCAAGAGTTAGAGCTTAAATTTTGGCGCCAAAAAAGAGAGCTCTGGAATTCTCTAGACTTGGAAATGGGGACACTGAGGCCGAGAGGGTGTGTCTCGCCTAAGGCCCGTGATGGCGGCCGGGAGGGCGTGTCTCCCCTAAGGCCCGCTATCGGACGGGCCAGGCTGGCGTGCCATCTAGGAGCCCTTGGTCCGGGGTGGGCTGCGGGCCTCCTGACGCCAACACCTGGCTGGAAAAGCCGCTGCTGCATTGTCGTCCCAGCGCCACGGGGCACCACAGCTCCCGGCTCTACACACAGCACCACACCACGACCAGCCGTGCCACCTCGCACTGCCGAAGGTGCCCAGAGTCAGGGAGGGGCAGGGGCGGGGCAGCCTCCCCGGCGAGACGCAGGGGTCTTGTGCCTTCCCTGCCGCAGCAGGGCGCTCACCTTCACCAGGGCGTACTCCAGGCGCTCCTCCACGGGGCCATCTCGCCACGCGTCCGTCTGTGCGACTTTCTTCCCGCCGCTGCCATGAGTCTGGAGGAGTGAGCGTTAAGAAGGCACGAGTCACCCTGCCCGGTCAGCAGAGCCTGTGCTTCACCCTCTACGCCTGCGCCCCAGGACAGGGTCCAGCA